GTATATGTAAGATAATCACATGAGTATTTATCCCGAAAAAAAAAACTAGCATTTACTAAAACACAAGTAAACATCATGGTTTATAGAAGTATGAACATGAGAAGAAAAACATTTCTAAGGAAATGTTACCAGTGAGCACACTAACCATGATAAACAGGCATAGATCGTTTATGTACCAGAAACAGAAGATGGAAAATCTTCTAAGAATCCTAGATACAGTAAATACAAATATTGTCCTAAGTAGAGAATAGTAGGAATTAGGAATAGCATCTGAAAGGTCTGCTTCTGGACCCACATGTCAGCAGCTGAAATGGATCCTAGTAGTCTTTCACCTGCAGACAATTCTAAGATCGTTCGCAAAATCAGACTCTGAAAAGGAAATTCCAATGTAGATAATAATTATTGTGCTCACCTGTTGTGGTCATGGAGATAGATGTAAGACTATACAGTGTGTTCAGCCTAACTGCTAGGTTTATAGGCTGCTCGAGAGTTAAAGTCGCCTTGCAAAACTGGACTTGTTTTTTCTCCTCTAGCAACTGGAAGTGAATGCAAAATCTTAATTTGTTGCCAGGTTTTTGCCAGAAAGTTGTTGGGTGCTAGTAGCAATTCTATACATGTCACAGACCTCTGGTATGACCTTGCTGGTCCGTGGCTCGTAAATGGGCCTATGACAGACAGACCAACCTTTAACACACACTGAACCCGAACGCACACAGAGCACACACGACAATCTTTATTGGAAGTACAGGTAATACATAGACAGTTGACTTCCCGCTGTGTGGCCACCTATTGCCTGGACCCTCTGGCTGAACGGGCTTTACAATCACCTCGTCCCCCAGTACGTGCTACAGGCAGCCTCCTGGTGTACAAACCACACCCCGACGAGATACGTTCTTTTCTATCGCCACACTGACCCAATCAAACTGTCACAGTCTCTGTCTTAGTGCAGGGTCAGAGTGTCAAGGTTAGCCACTCTCTCACAGCACATATACATAAATACTCTACACAAGAACTATCCTATCCTAACACAAAACTGTACATAAACTATCCAGTCACTAACAGAAATATATCCTAACTTTAATACTATAACTGTCTTGCTAAACGTCCTCTCTTCCTGACCGACGCACACCGAATGTCCTATGTTCTCTCTCCCTCGTGTCTCTTGACCCCGTTCACCAGCTCAGTCCCAAAAGCAGTCATCGTGTTTGTCCACAACACAGTTCAGTCTTTCTTGCTTTATCCTGAGCGCTGGTTTCGCCGTGCGATCACAGAACGGACTTGACCAGTCACGGCCCTGACCTTTGTGTCAACCCTGGGGTGTCACCTCAACACGCCCACCTTACGGTGTGGTACACTGACTGTACTTAATAGGGTTGTGACATTCACCCTTCCTCTGAACTGATACTTCCTGACAAAGTCAAGTATCAGCAAAGCATGGCCTGCCATCATGTACAGTCATCTTTTTAAATTTTATCGTCAACATTTAGTTACCTAAAAAAAATAATAAGTCATGTACTTTTGGGTCAATCACCTAAGGACAAACTATCTGGCACATATTTAATGGGTATATACATTCAATAGGTAAGCCCCTCCCTAATGGGTAGAAATTGTATCAGCCCTTGACACAAACACGTCACTACTCATTACACCTTCAAATCATATGGGTAATGATATAAATAATAATTTGGGTGGACACTCAAATCGTCCGGGACCCAATTACACCTTACTTCACTTACTGTGCAAGTAAGACGCCACTGTATACACTCCCAAGCCGTTTAACCAACGACATAGTGATTAATAACAGTGGGCGTCATGGACTATCTCCACATGACTTGTCCATGGTTGTGAAAAGGAGTCATGACCTGACTCCCCGACCTACAGTCGTATAATGTGTCCGCGAATCCGCAGTACCTGCCAAGACACAAATCACCCCATATGACCCACAGTGCAAAATAGGCAGTAAACAAATCCGTGGCCAGTTGGACACACTCCCATCCTCCAAGGATAGTGCTACTCCTTAAATGTAGTCTCCATATATGCAATATTAGTTACAACATCAATGCTCTTTCGTTCAAAATAGTAATAAACCGCTCAACAAATCACCTGAATACCGTAGCTGCCACGAACAAAAATACTAAAAATTACAAGCGGCCAGCCCGGAAATCAGTGAAACCGATGCAAAAAATATAGCAAATTAATAAATGCAATACAAAAATAATAATAATTATGGAACAATTTGGACTGTTCCGATACAGAAAAGGGATGGGTCACCGAAACTTATTCGTTACAATTTCCGAATGCGGGATGATGATGTGTGCACACACACACACACAAAAAAAATTATTACACAAATAAAAAAAAAAATAACGTAAATGATGAATAGGATAGACGAGAAATGAGAAGGACAATGAACGGTGCCAGGGGCTCAAATACAATTGCGTAGAACCCTCGAGGGCTGGAGGACAGACCACAACAATACACCAAAAGCAAAACAAACTTATCTTCTCTCCAGTCCTTGATTCTTGGCCTCCCACAGAAAGGATGATGAGGATTAGGTGATGACCGAGATCGACAGGCCTCGGTTGATCTATGTCGGCAGCAACCACACAACAGCACACAATCTTGACCTTCCTCACACTTTTTACTGTCCGTCAAACTATTTCTCCTATTCGTCACTAACTTGTCACGACGCAAACGCAGCCCTATCACATTTAGTCATTATTAATTACAATCAGTCGGAACAAATACGAAAACGATAACAAACTATCACTTTATAGTACTACGGGTGACCCAAGCCAACCCCGATGTCGCTATCAATAATTAAGAGTAGGCCCGGACAACGATGCAATATTTAAGAGCATTAACTCAGCAACGCCATCGCAAACTTACTCGATAGCAACATCAAAATTAAGGGATTAACTCAATCACGTTAGCCCTACAGTAGTGAACGACAAAACTTAAAGAAAAATAAATCAGTCAGCTAAACATACGAACTAATCTATGTCTCCTATTTAGACAAGCACATTGGGTTCACAATTAACGCGGACAACTATTCCTATCTAGCTACTACTATAGATTCAATTCCCAAGGACGAACGCTCCCATAATCTGTCACAGACCTCTGGTATGACCTTGCTGGTCCGTGGCTCGTAAATGGGCCTATGACAGACAGACCAACCTTTAACACACACTGAACCCGAACGCACACAGAGCACACACGACAATCTTTATTGGAAGTACAGGTAATACATAGACAGTTGACTTCCCGCTGTGTGGCCACCTATTGCCTGGACCCTCTGGCTGAACGGGCTTTACAATCACCTCGTCACCCAGTATGTGCTACAGGCAACCTCCTGGTGTACAAACCACACCCCGGCGAGATACGTTCTTTTCTATCGCCACACTGTCCCAATCAAACTGTCACAGTCTCTGTCTTAGTGCAGGGTCAGAGTGTCAAGGTTAGCCACTCTCTCACAGCACATATACATAAATACTCTACACAAGAACTATCCTATCCTAACACAAAACTGTACATAAACTATCCAGTCACTAACAGAAATATATCCTAACTTTAATACTATAACTGTCTTGCTAAACGTCCTCTCTTCCTGACCGATGCACACCGAATGTCCTGTGTTCTCTCTCCCTCGTGTCTCTTGACCCCGTTCACCAGCTCAGTCCCAAAAGCAGTCATCGTGTTTGTCCACAACACAGTTCAGTCTTTCTTGCTTTATCCTGAGCGCTGGTTTCGCCGTGCAATCACAGAACGGACTTGACCAGTCACGGCCCTGACCTTTGTGTCAACCCTGGGGTGTCACCTCAACACGCCCACCTTACGGTGTGGTACACTGACTGTACTTAATAGGGTTGTGACAATACACACACGCAATGGGCTTTGAGTGGACATTGTTTGGCAGAACTTTTTATATGCTAGCCATTTGTTTAAACTTAAACTATGTTTATATTTGTATTTCAGTTGTGGCCATTGTTTGTTGGAATTTTATTTAACTATTTGTTTTCTAGCTGTGACCATTGTTTGTTTGAACTTTAACTGTTTGTATTCCAGCTGTGCCCATTGTTTGTAGAAGCTAACTATGTTTATGTTTGATTTCTTGAGTGGGGACATTCCTGGGAAGTAAAGGTGGCTGGCGTGATGGTAGTAAACTGCTCTGTTCACAAAACCAAGTCCTTGTTTTGCAACTGCCCAGCTAGAACGCTCAGTTATGACTGCCCTGTTTCTCCCCTCGTTTTCCCTTTCTCTCGTTATTTAATTATCTTTTTTCTTCACAAAGACCAAGCAATCTCTCTCTTTCAGTCATCTATCTGTCCATCTGTTTATATCTGTCTAGCCCCCTTTTACCCTTGGTCCCATTTATCTCAAGCCTGGCATAACCTGCACCCTGGATTCAGATTCTGATTTCACCCTATCTGACGGCAAAACTAATATCCTGTGTCTTGTGTAGTGTTGTTAGACCAGCATTCTAATCTAGGTTGCTGGCATGTCAGCTATCATGTCATTCAGTGATAGATTGGCATTGATGGTGTCTCAGTGCCTCAGCCCATACATTCTTTAGTGCTTCTCCACATCTCCCCTTATTTAGCTTTTCTACATGTCAGTTATTTGTTGAAACTTGAACTATTTATATTCTAGCTGTGAACATTGTAGGAACTTTAACTGTATTCTAGCTGTGGCCAAATATTTGTAAAAATTTTAACAATGTTTACAATTGATTTCTTGAGTAGGTACAAACCTTGGAAGTAAAGGTGGCTGGCGTGATGCTGACCACATCACCTACCATGTGCCATTTAGTCTATACAGTATAGGTCTTGCCCTCTATACCCAGTATGCCTGAAACCATGGAAAAGGGTCCTTTACATTTACTTTATATTTCTACTTCAGTTGCGGCCATTGTTTGTTGGAACTTTATAAGTATTTTTATATTTGTATGCTGTGGCACTTTTTTTTTTTCAACTTTAGCTATGTTTATTTTTGTATTTCAGTTGTGGCCATTGTTTGGTGGAACTTTAACAAAGCCAGAAAAAGGAAAGCTATTTTATGTACCACAGGTACATTTGAATCTAGTTTGGTGTTTGACCCCCTGAACTCATTCTTTTGTTGTGTTTGACCTCATGAACCCCTTGTATTGTTGTTGTATTTGACCTCATGAACTCCTTGTATTGTTGTTGTATTTGATCTCATGAACTCCTTGTATTGTTGTATTTGACCTCATGAACTCCTTGTATTGTTGTATTTGACCTCATGAACTCCTTGTATTGTTGTATTTGACCTCATGAACTCCTCGTATTGTTGTATTTGACCTCATTAAGTTCTTGTATTGTTGTTGTATTTGACCTCATGCACTCCTTGTATTGTTGTATTTGACCTCATGAACTCCTTGTATTGTTGTATTTGAGCTCATGAACTCCTTGTATCTTTGGGTTTGACCTCAGAAACTCCTCGTATTATGTTTATCCTTATAAACTCCTTGTATGTCTATTTTGTTTGACCCCATAAACTCCTTATAGTATTGTTGTTTTGTTTTGACTTCATGAATCCCCTTGTATTGTTGTTTTGGTTGACCTCATTAACTTTTTGTATTGTTGTGTTTGACCTCATGAACTCCTTGTGTCATCATGTTTGACCTCATGAACACCTTCTATTGTGTTGACCTAATGAACCCCTTAAATTGTTTTTGTGTTGGCCTCATGAACTTCTTGTATCATTATTGTGTTTGACCTCATAAGTCCCTTGTATTGTTGTGTTGGCCTCATAAACCCATTGTTGTTGTGTGTTGGCCTCATGGACCCCTTGAATTCTTGTTAGGTTTGACCTCATGAACCCCTTGTATTGTTGTGTTTGACTTCATATACCCGTTGCATCATTGTTGTGTTTGACCTAATAAACTCCTTGTGTCTTTGTGTTTAACCTCATGAACCCCCTGTGTTGTTGTGTGTGACCTTGTGAATCCCTTGTATTGTTGTGGTTGACCTTATGAACCCCTTGTATTGTTGTGTGTTTGACCTCATGAACCCCTTGAACCACATGCTGGCCAAGTATCTAGGGGTTTTATTTGCCCAATCTTCTTTTGGAATTTTGTGAAACCGAACTTGTAGTAAAAATGCTGAAATCCATGATCTAATGTCATCCTTTTCACCAAATTTTTTTATTAATCCTTTGTATTTTCTAAATTTATGTTCTTCTTCTTTAGCTCTTTCCCTTTGTGCTGCCAGTTCTGCTTTGGATTCATTATCCATTTCTTTTGTTCTTATCTGTGCTTCAACCTTTTGTCTGTCTGCATCTATTTGTGCTGTCAACCGCTCTTGTTCAAGTTTTAACTCTTGCAATTTGATTTCTTTCTCATGGTCTAATTGCTGTTGTTTCATTGCTGCTTCATGTTGTAACTGTTTATCTTTCAGTGCTGCCTCGTGGGCACGTGCTGCGGCTCTTTCTTCTCGATCCAATTGTTGTTGAACGCTTTGTGCCTCTTTATCTTCCTGTTCTCTTCCCTCACAGAATTTTCTCAATTCCTCTCCTGATAACCCTAACTGTTTTCCCAGATTTATGTATTCTGCTAGGTTTGACATTTTAAAACTGATTATTGTAACTTATTACTTTTGAAACTGTTTAAATTTAAGATAAATCCCGTATTATTTATTTTATACCCTTCTTTAACTAAATAATTGAAAGTTTAAATTTAATTCTATCCCCTATCAAATTTTTATACTCAACTAATAAACAAACAAAAAATTATCTATTTAACTTAAATAGAATAATAGAATATCACAATCAAAGAACCTGAAACTAGAAAAAAGAAAGCATATAAACAATGTAATGAGTTAATTCTTTTCTCTTGGTCCTGGTGATGGCTCCCTTGCTATTCTGCTGTTGGAATGGACTGGATTAGGTTTGTGGCCCTTGATGCTCCACTGCACGTCTTTACTGTCTCTGGACACGCTCTTCTGATCTTTGTAGGACACTGCTCTTGTCTTGTGTCGTGGTCTAAGTCTGTAGATGATCTTAAAAGACTACCATTAGTTTATGCTCATTCAATAATTCAGATATGTCCAAAAGTCTTCATACCATGTAGTTTAACAATCTACACTGAAGTTGATCAGTTGGCACAGATCACTAAATGTTCACAGTTAGCGCATATTAATTTCACTTTAATTGTCACCACAAACTGTTGATAAATGTTAGATTCTCACTGAAATACTTTTCTTACAGAAAATGTATGTAGTTTTACCCTACAACCTGAATAGTTATAGTCTATCACATTAATCACTGTTTTTACTGTCTATCCATTATAAATTGTAAACATTTCGTGACGTAATTAATGTTGATAAACACCACTCCTTCCTTGCCAACACAATAAACACTTGAACTCACCTATACGGATGTATTACAAACATTTAGTAGTAAAAGTACTACTTCTGGTACTGACTGGACCCCGTTCTTTTTTATTGACAAGTATTCTTGACCTGAGGCACTCACTTGTGGCCGGTGTGCTGTATGGTTGCCTCGAGTTAGCTGTCGCTGATGACATTTTATCTGCTACTGTGTTGTACTTGACAGTTGTTGATGACCTTGCTCGCTGTAACTGAGTGCCGTCTTGGCCCCTGGCAATGCAGTGTTCTTGCGGTGAAATCTAGTCCGAAATTAGTATCTCTGGTTTATGACCTCTTGTTTGACTAACAAAACCCACGTTAAACAACGATCACAGGGATACTGCTGCTGACAATTTTCCGTCGTGGATTACCCACCACAAGGGTCAAAAGTTCAGCTTACACTGTCTCTTCCAGTGACGAACAAGCGTTGCCACGTCGCGGGATGAAACGTGTGCAATTTTTTCACACTCGAAGTGAATACATTACCCAGTATTGTTTCGCCGTGTTTCTGCCAATTTTTCTCAGGCTAGCTTGTTTGTTTCAGAATGACCAGAGTATGGAATTCAGTTGTCCCGGTTTTACTTAATGCCCTTGACAGCATGTCCTGGTGGTACATAATACCCCGACATTTCTTTAAACTCCATCTTCCAACACACATAGTCACTCAAAACTTACGGCTGCCGGTATTTGCCTAAATTTTACTTCTGTCCACAATAACACTACGTCTAATGTACTGGCATAGTTAGAACAAGCCTGCACTGTAACTCATACTTATAAATTACAATGTATTCGCACTTAGGACGGGTTCCCAATGTAATGACTGCCCTTTTGTGTCTCCTCCACACTGGCTATCTGTGGTGCAGAGTTAACACTGGCTCTGATGTCTAGAGGGTCACAACTCAATCAAGCAGACATGATCTTCTTCACGGTCACACAACTTCTAACAACGGGTGACACCAGCGGCACATTTCACGAGTTTATTATCACGATAGCACAATACACCAATCACAGGAGAATCCACTTACAGCATTCGGACAATAGACGTTGACATATTCACGGCTGGCTTTAACCCTCAAACAAGGTACCATCACAGCTGGCCTTCTCAATCATTCATTCCTCGCCGATTCAGATCCACATGCTCTAATCATTCTCCATTCATCTTCACAGCTTCATTTCCCATCCTTTCTCTCTGGGGCCCAGTCACCGAATGACCGCCTGATTCTCAATCCCCCAGATCTCCACATTCACACGTGACTTCCCCAGTTATGCCAATCATCCCCTGACATTATCCCTATTTATAACATCATTACATCTGGTGATGGATGACTCACCTCAAGTCTACTGCCCGCCAAATACTTACATCCGCATCTCTTCAGACATGAACAGAACACCCCAGCAACTATGCACCAGGTGCCCTGTCACCCGAAGACTCAAGGTAGATGCACCCCTTAGTGAAAGACTCAAAACCTCCCGTCTGCTAACCCAGCTACTCATTGAAGTATCGCTGACTAAACTCCCGTTAATCAGCCTCTGAGACCTCCCCATCACAACTCCACACACAAAGTTCCCCAGCACTGTCTGTGCAATAAAGGATACCCATCAACTAACGTACCACAGTCACAACCATGCCAACCTTTACACACACAGCCGACATGAGTTGATTTTAGATTGCCACTTCATCTCATGATCCACCACAATCATCTCAGACAGTTCACACAAGCTCCACAGAAGAAAACCACATTGTTAAAGGTGTCACACAGGACTGGAACAATTCCCGCACAAATATCCAAACACTTAGCCCGATTGAAAGCTACTGACTCACTTAAATTACCATGGGGCTCTTTCCACCCACAGTCAGTTACACGTGGATCTCGGAGAATTCGCAGCCACCCGTTAATATTATGCAACTTCTGTTTCACAACTTTAAGTGGCTTAGTGTTTACACTCCCAACCTGTCACACCAAGTCCTGGCTTCATTAACTTTTTATATACCACAATGGTTTTGCACATAACATTGAATTCCTTGAATTGTTTTTATGTTTGACCTCATTAACCCCTTGTATTGTTATGTTTGACCTCATGAACCCCTTGTATTGTTGTGTTTGGCCTCATGAACCCTATGTATTGTTGTTGTGGTTGACCTTATAAACCCTATGTATTGGTGTGGTTAACCTCATGAACCCCTTATATTGTTGTTGTGGTTGACCTCATAAACCCCTTGTATTGTTGTTGTGGTTGACCTCATGAACCACTTGTGTTTTGGTGTGGTTGACCTCATGAACCCCTTGTATTGTTTTTGTGGTTGACCTCATGAACCCCTTGTATTGTTGTGTTTGACCTCATGAACCCCTTGTATTGTTGTTGTGTTTGACCTCATGAACCCCTTGTATTGTTGTGTTTGACCTCATGAACCCCTTGTATTGTTGTGTTTGACCTTATGAACCCCTTGTAATGTTGTGTTTGACCTCATGAACTGCTTGTATTATTGTTGTGTTTGACCTCATGAACCCCTTGTATTGTTGTGTTTTACCTCATGAACTGCTTGTATTATTGTTATGTTTACACATACCTATGCTGCAGTGTGTTATCTCATATATTTTACACATACCTGTGATGCAATATGTTGCCTCAAACATTTGACACATGGTATGCAAAGGCTGAGACATTGTCACCTTGATTGTATGTGTTTCCTCAGCGACCGTACATGGCAGTGGGAACCCTGAGAGATCAGGTGATCTATCCAGACAACCACATGGAACAGCTGAAGAAAGGTGTCAAGGATGAGGAGCTGGAAGACATTCTCAACAAGGTAATGCCTCAGATCATTGAAGTGTGCTTGACATCTACTTCGTGACTGATGTTGTTGTGTACTTTATACATGCTAGCACATATACTTACATACATGCTCACACACTCACTCACATACATGATCACACATACACTCACATTCATCCTAGCACATACACTCACATACATCCTGGCACATACACTCATATACATGCTGACACTTACACTCATACACATGCTGACACTTACACTCACATACATCTTGGCACATACACTCACATACATCCTGGCACATACACTCACATTCATCCTGGCACATACACTCATACATCCTGGCACATACACTCATATACATGCTGACACTTACACTCATATACATGCTGACACATACATGTACAAATTTTCAGAAAGTCTCAGAGATTCAAAATCATGCTTCCCCTGTTATGACAGGGGCCATGCGCTCCATGCCCTTAACAGACATATTCATACTCTGGAAGACAGGAGAGACACAAAGCTGCTCACCCAGTTCTTGAAATCCAACAATTTGAAAGCACATCCCATGTACAACCAAGTGTAGAAACCCCAGAGACTGAAGAGAACATTTTTCATTAATGTTCTACTGTGCAATGACTCTGTTCTTATTCACTTTGGCTCTAGTCACTTGCAGACTCCTCACTCGTGCACTGACAGTGAACACCACGAGTAAAAAATGGGCTACAGTGAACGACACAATGCGTTTTCACTTTTTATTCTCCACTCGCTGTTTCTTTAGCCATTAGATGATGAGGTAACAAACGTTTACTCAACTATATCAAGACACGGATCAACTTTACCTTTAAGCCGAAAAACACAACTTCCATTACACAATAGCAATTGAACAAAAACAACTGTTATCCATGACGGCGAACGCACACAATCAGCTGGCTGCCAGTTTCCGTCCGTCCTTGCTGCCTGGCCAGGTAGGCGTTAGAGGCGTTAGAAACTACAAATACATTCAGACGCATACACATACTTCTCCACTCTACATGCATGCAGTTTCTTAGCCCAAACGAGACTGTCCACATGCTCTTTCTATAATATAATATACCGCCCACATTAAAATTATGCCGGCATATGACTTTCTCATGTTCTCCGAATTATTTGGCCAACATTTTTCCTGTGCATCTCGGCTTTGCACTTGTTACATTTAAATATCTCATTCATATTTACCTGACGTCATTCTTTCTGTAGCATAACTTAATCAAAGAGAAAATGGTTCACTACAAACTGAAATCTTACAACCACTGCTCTCCTTGGCTTAGGGATAAGCTGCCCTCAGAAAGAAGGAGGAGGAGTATATATAAAATGCCCAAATGGTTTAAAAATTAGCCAAGCTGTACCAACAGGCTCATATTCCTCCAGTTACAGAGCAGAGGCAGATGCACGTCTGGTGGCATGTCCTTTCCTGAATGGACAACAGCACACAAATATAGCAGAGTGGTCTTTCGGACTGATGCTCTGCCTGTTCTACGAGCAATTGTTGCTGCATACTAGCCTCAGAGCTAGAGTAAAGAGCGCAGTCGTCAGCAAATAAAATGTCCCTAATTGTTGTTGTTTTAGTTTTTCTGTTGGGTTGAAGCCTCAAATTTACCAAGGTGCCATCTGTGCGGTAATTTAAAGCAATTCCTGGATTGTCATGACCAAAAGCGTTGGCAAGTATTGCAGCAAATTTCATGCTAAACAAGGTTGGCGCAAGCACACATCCCTGTTTTTGAGACAGGGAAAGGGTCCAACAGTTTTCCCTTCTCCAGCACTCTGGCCTGCATACCTTCATGGAATTGTTGTATAATCCTGAAAAAACTTCTGAGGACAGCCAAATTTAGCCATGATTGCACTCACATACATACTCACATATGCAGTCACATACATGCAAACATGCTCACACTTGCACTCACTCACATGCTCACACATGCACTCACTTACCTGCTCATAAATATGCTCACATATATGCTTACTCATGCACTCAATTACCTGCTCACACATGCACTCACTCACATGCTCACACATACACTCACATGCTTATACATGCACACACTTACCTGCTCACACATACACTCACATGCTCACACATACACTCACATGCACACACTTACATGCACACACTTACATGCTCACACATGCACACACTTACATGCTCACACATGCACACACTTACATACTCACACATATGCTCACATACATGCTCACTCATGCACACACATCATGCTCACTCATGCACACACATCATGCTCACACATACGCTCACATACATGCTCACACATACACTCACATACATGTTCACACATACACTCACACATATTCACACATAAACTCGTGTAATCGCTTACACAGACACACATACATGCTGATATATACAGTCACAAACATAATGATACATAGGCTCACATACATGCTCAGACATACACTTTTATGTATGCTCACATGTATGCTCATATGTACACTCACATGCTCACATGCTCACACATACTCACCTACATGATCACACATACTTACCTACATGATCACACATTTGCTGTCACATCCGCTGTACTATTTTTTTTCCCAGTGCATCTCGAAAACCTTGTGGATTGTTTGTGTGGGAGGGCAGCCCTCTTGCTTTAATGTTCAGCCCTCTTGCTTTAATGTTTAGTCCTCTTGCTTTAATGTTTAGCCCTCTTGCTTTAATGTTTAGTCCTCTTGCTTTAATGTTCAACCCTCTTGCTTTAATGTTCAGTCCTCTTGCTTTAATGTTCAGTCCTCTTGCTTTAATGTTCAGTCCTCTTGCTTTAATGTTCAGTCCTCTTGTTTTAATGTTTAGTCCTCTTGCTTTAATGTTTAGCCCTCTTGCTTTAATGTTCAGTCCTCTTGCTTTAATGTTCAGTCCTCTTGCTTTAATGTTCAGTCCTCTTGCTTTAATGTTCAGTCCTCTTGCTTTAATGTTTGGCCCTCTTGCTTTAATGTTTAGCCCTCTTGCTTTAATGTTTAGTCCTCTTGCTTTAATGTTCAGTCCTCTTGCTTTAATGTTCAGTCCTCTTGCTTTAATGTTTGGCCCTCTTGCTTTAATGTTTAGCCCTCTTGCTTTAATGTTTAGTCCTCTTGCTTTAATGTTCAGTCCTCTGTTCAATATCTGCCCGGCAACGATCCTCGGGCACACACAGGCCAGAAAGAATGGATTGACCAACAGCAAAGAACTGATTGTCCAACAGCAGAGAACTGATTGTCCAGTATCAGAGAACTGATTGTCCAGCAGCAGAGAACTAATTGTCCAGTATCAGAGAACTGATTATCCAGCATCAGAGAACTGATTATCCAGCAGCAGAGAACTAATAGTCCAGCATCAGAGAACAGGTTGTCCAGCAGCAGAGAACTAATAGTCCAGCATCAGAGAACAGGTTGTCCAGCAGCAGAGAACTAATGGTCCAGCATCAGAGAACAGGTTGTCCAGCATCAGAGAACAGGTTGTCCAGCAGCAGAGAACTGATTGTCCAGCATCAGGGAACGAACGAACGAACAAACTTTATTTTCAAAGGGTTACAAATTGGGCACGCAGGCCCGTCTGACATTCGACCCTTCTAAGCACTCGTTTTCCGGAGTACTAATGCCTGTTATTTAAAATGCATGTTATAGATATAGAATAAAAATATACATTATAGAATATAATACATACATCATGTGTACACAATCTTACACACTCACAGACATATATATATATATATGCTCTCACATTCTCATACTTGCACACTCATATACAGACATACCTAAGACATACATACATACATACATACATATATACATCTACATATATACACAAACAGAAAAGACACACACATACATATATGGACATATATGCACACACATTCCATACATACACACCTACACATGCATGCATGCATACACACACATACAATCACATGTACAGACACCCACAACCACACATTCACACTCACATGTAAACATACATATACATACACACACCTACATCTTTACACACATACATGCATACTTGCATACATACCTACACCCACCTACTTATACATCTACAAATGCATTCACACATCCACAAACATGCATACATACACACACACACCCACATACATGCCGACACACATTACATACATGCCCACACATGCATGCTTAGACACACATACAATCACCCATACAGATACTCACATACATACATACATTCACTCATGTATACATACATTCATACTTGCCTACATTATTTACACACATACACTCATATACAGTCACACATACTTACAACACATATACATAGACACACAAACAAACTTAAATATACATTCATATATCCACATGCATGCATACACACACACACCCACAATCACACACACCCAGATAATGCATACATATATACACACATATAGATACTTTTATACACACATACACATACATAATACATACCCACATACTTACATACATGCATACATTCATAAATACATACACATCCACAGCTACATATACCGACAAACATCCATATACACCCAGAGACTTACACAGATACATTTACATAGAAACATTCTCATACATATATAGACATACATAATACATGCACCTACATACATATATGCACACATACATACATACATACATGGACTACATGTACATGCATACACACATCCATACATACACTCAAATACTTAAACATGCTTTCAAACATACACACATCCATACATACACTCACATACTTACACACATACATACTTTCATACTTACCTAAATAACACACACACACATGCATGCATACATACACACACATACATGCATACATACACCGACATCTTTACACACATACATACATAAACAGACACACATGCATGCATACATACATATACAATCACCCATACAGATACCCACATACATACATCACATGCATCGCACATACTTTCCACATACATAAAAAAAAATAACTGATTGTCCAGCAGCAGAGAACTGATTGTCCAGCATCAGAGAACAGGTTGTCCAGCAGTAGAGAACTAATTGTCCAGCAGCAGAGAACTAATTGTCCAGCATCAGAGAACAGGTTGTCCAGCAGCAGAGAACTAATTGTCCAGCATCAGAGAACAGGTTGTCCAGCAGCAGAGAACTGATTGTCCAGCAGCAGAGAACTGATTGTCCAGCAGCAGAGAACAAGTTGTCCAACATCAGGGAACTGATTGTCCAGCAGCAGAGAACTGATTGTCCAGCATCAGGGAACTGGTTGTCCAGCAGCAGAGAACAGGTTGTCCATCAGCAGAGAACTAATTGTCCAGCAGCAGAGAACAGGTTGTCCAGCAGCAGAAAACTAATTGTCCAGCAACAGAGAACTGATTGTCCAGCAGCAGAGAACTGATTGTCCAGCAGCAGAGAACTGATTGTCCAGCAGCAGAGAACAGGTTGTCCAGCAGCAGAGAACTGATTGTCCAGCAGCAGAGAACAAGTTGTCCAACATCAGGGAACTGATTGTCCAGCAGCAGAGAACTGATTGCCAGACAAAACAAAACTGATTGTCACACGAAAAAGAACTGATTGACAGACAGCAGAGAACTGATTGTCAAAATGAAAACAGATTGTCTGTTTATCTTCTACAGGTGCAGCTGGGTCACATTCTGGACAGAGAGGGAGGATGGGATTCTGTGCAGGTTTGGTGGCTCTCTTGATTGAAATCCAATTTTTTGGGTTTAGTTTCTTTCTGGATTGAAATCCAATTTTTTGGGTTTGGTTGCTCTCTTGATTGAAATCCTAACTTTGGGGTTGTGTGTTCTAAGATTTGTGATGTTTTGTTAAATAAAGTAGTGTCTCCTTTTGTACCCTGTAATGTAAATGTTAACTAGGCTCTCTTCTTTCACTTGGAGTCTAAATGTTTGCTAGTCTCTCCTCTGGTCCTCTGGAGTGTACATGTGTGGCACAGTCGTGCCTTGACATCCCCCAAGAAATAGATGTGCCTAGTTCGGCCAAGGTGAATGGATACAGTTCATAGCTCTCTTCGATCGAACTCAAGAACAAGGCCAGTGATGTAACAATTACACAGCAGTTTATTTATTAATAAACTTATCAAGTCAAACAGAATGAATCATTCAATAACAATATTATAAGAGCACTTCATTATCTTATTACTGGCTATTCTTATGTCTCTCTATGAGTTCCTTAATCACTCTCTTAGCTAAACTCCAAGTTTAATATATATATAACTTCTAAATGAAGTCCAGCTCTAGTTTTCCTGACTGGTCTCTCAAGCGGTCTAGTCCTAACTGTCCTCTCAAGCGGTCCCGTCCTAACTCTCTTCTCCTCCCCCTTCTGCCCCTGGCTACTCACTTCCCCTCGCTTTCCCGCTCTTTCTGGCATGCCTTCTCAATCACCCCCTGACATCTGTCTCTGGTGGTCACGTTTGGATAAACGTATCGTCAGTTGGACACATGCATCACGTTGCTCACGGATACTCGTCGATCTCCCTCTCTGTCGTATGTTTTCATCCTGTCAGATGTCATGGTATTGCTCAAATAACCGCACTCAATTCAACTCTGGTCACCGTGCAGATGTTCTGTATCGCTGGCCAGGCCAGCTTTCTCATCACCCATTTCTGTCATGTCACACAGTGATGGATTAGTATGCCTTGATGGTGTTCTGAAATGTATTTATTTGTTTAACCCCTTTCTGCCTAGATTTCATTACACATGTTAAATAGTAAATCCTCTTGTCCACTGGAGTCTGAATGTTAGCTATTCTTTCATCTTGTCCCCTGGAATGTACATGTTAAGTAAGGGACCTTTGGTCCCTTGTAGTGTAAATGTTAACTAGTCTCTCTTTTTGTCCCCTAAAGTGTAAATAATGTTAATTAAGCTTTCCCTTTGTCCCCTTGAGTGTAAATAATGTTGGTTAAGCTTTCCTTTTGTCCCCTTGAGTGTAAATGTTAATTAAGCTTTCCTTTTGTCCCCTGGTGTGTAAATGTTAACAAGCAAATCCTCTTTTCCACTGGTATGTAAATGTTAACTATCTCTCTTCTTGTCCCTTGTAGTGTAAATGTTAATAAGGCTTTCCTCTTTTCCTGCTGGAAAGTAAATGTTAACTAATCTCTCCTTTTGTCCCGAGGAGTTAAAATATTAATTACTCTCTCCTTTTGTCCCCTTGAGGGTAAATGTTAACTAGTCTCTCCTCTTGTCCCCTGGAGTGTAAATATTTACTAGTCTCTCCTTTTGTCCCTAGGAATGTAATTGTTAACTAGCCTCTCCTCTTGTGCCATGAAGTATGTTAACTAGGCTCTCCTCTTGTGCCATAAAGTATGTTAACTAGGCTCTCCCCTTGTCCACTGGAGTGTAAATGGTAACAAGTCTTTCTTGTCAGCCAGAGTGTAAATCTTAACTAGTCTCTCCTCTTATGAAGTGTAAATGTTAACTAGTCTCTCCTCTTGTTCCCTGAAGTGTAAATGTTAACTAGTCTTGCCTCTTGTGCTCTGGAGTGTAAATGTTAACAAGTCTCTTTATCTTTTCTACCTGGAGTGTAATTGTTAACTAGTTTCTCCTTTTGTTCCTCTTAGTGTAAAAATTAACTAGTTTCTTCTCTTGTCGTCTGAAGTGTAAATGTTAATTAGGCTCTCCTCTTGTCTCCTGGAGGGTAAATTTTAACCAGTCTATCCTTTTTTCCCACTGGAGTTTAAACGTTAACTAGTCTCTCTTGCCCACTAAAGTTTAAATGTTAACTAGTCTTCCCTCTTGTACCCTTGAGTGTAGACTAGACTCTCCTCTTGTCCCCTGTAGTGTAAATGTTAACTAAGCTCTCCTCTTTTCCCCTTGAGTTTAGCTGTTAGCCAGTCTGTCCTCTTGTCCCCTTGAGTGTAAATGTTAGGTTTTCCTCTTGTCTCATGGAGTGTAAATGTTAACTAGGCTCTATTCTTGTACCCTGGAGTGTAAAAGGTTAACTAGTCTCTCCTCTTGTCCTATGGAGTGTAAAAATTAATTAGCCTCTCCTCTTTTACTTTGAGTGTAAATGTTATCTAGACTTTTCTCATTTACTTTGAATGTAAATGTTAACTAGACTTTCCTTTTTTACTTTTAATGCAAATGTTAACTAGACTCTTCTCTTTTACTTTATGTGTAAATTTTAACTACACTCTCCTCTTTTACTTTAAGTGTAAATGTTAACTAGACTCTCCTTTTTAACATTGAATGTAAATGTTAACTAGACTCTCCTCTTTTGTCTCCATATTATTTTTACATTTTGTTTTTGTACCTTAATTTCTTTTTACATTATATTTGTGTTTCTTTATTCCTGTTACATTTTGTTTGTGTGCCAATATTTTTGTTACATCTTGTTTGTGTCCACCCCTTTTTGTGTGTGTTTTTTGTTATATCTTGTTGTGTCCTTATATTCTTGTTACATTTCATTCGTGTCCCTATATTCTTGTTACATCTTGTTTGTGTTCCTATATTTTTGTTACATCTTGTTTATGTCTGTATATTCTTGTTACATCTTGTGTCCCTATATTTTTGTTACATCTTGTGTCCCTATATTCTTGTTACATCTTGTTTGTGTCCTTATTGCAACATTTTGTTTGTATCCATATTTTCTTGTGACATTTTGTTTGTATCCATATTTTCTTGTGACATTTTGTTTGTATCCATATATTCTTGTTACATTTTGTTTGTATCCATATATTCTTGTTACATCTTGTTTGTGTCCTTATATTCTTGTTACAACTTGTGTCCCTATATTCTTGTTACATCTTGTTTGTGTCCTTATTGCAACATTTTGTTTGTATCCATATATTCTTGTTACATTTCATTCGTGTCCCTATATTCTTGTTACATCTTGTTTGTGTCCCTATATTTTTGTTACATCTTGTTTATGTCTGTATATTCTTGTTACATCTTGTGTCCCTATATTTTTGTTACATCTTGTGTCCCTATATTCTTGTTACATCTTGTTTGTGTCCTTATTGCAACATTTTGTTTGTATCCATATTTTCTTGTGACATTTTGTTTGTATCCATATTTTCTTGTGACATTTTGTTTGTATCCATATATTCTTGTTACATTTTGTTTGTATCCATATATTCTTGTTACATCTTGTTTGTGTCCTTATATTCTTGTTACAACTTGTGTCCCTATATTCTTGTTACATCTTGTTTGTGTCCTTATTGCAACATTTTGTTTGTATCCATATTTTCTTGTGACATTTTGTTTGTATCCATATATTCTTGTTACATTTTGTTTGTGTCCCTATTTTCTTGTTACATCTTGTTTGTGTCCCTATATTCTTTTTACATCTTTTTTGTGTCCTTATATTCTAGTTCCATTTGGTTTGTCCCTCTATATTCTTGTTACATCTTGTTTATGTCTCTATATTTTTGTTACATTTTGTTTGTATCCCTATTTTATTGTTACTTCTTGTTTGAGTCCCTATATTCTTGTTACATTTTGTGTGTGTGTCCCAATTAATTTAATGTTTCTTGTCTTTTTATCTAATAGGACTGGATGGATGTGCTGAGTGGTGGAGAAAAGCAGCGAATTGCCGTGAGTACAATTGTGTTTCAGTGTGAGTACAATGTTGTGTGAGAGTACAATGTTGTGTCTGTGTGTGTGAGAACAATGTTATGTGTGACTACAATGTTCTCTTTGTAAGTGCAATTTTATGTGTGAGTACAATGTTGTGTGTGTGTGTACAGTGTTTGAGTGTTTATGTGTGTGAATATAATGTTAAATATGGAATATACTATAAATTTTGATATTATTAAAGTTTATAAAGGTAGTGGAGTGAATCCTTAACGAACTTTAAGTTAGTTTTTATGTTCTGTGTATTTAACAACCTGTATGCTAATACTTCTGTATGTTCTATGCTAGTATTTCTATAGGGTTTAACGAACTCCTTGCTAGTATTTCTGTTCTCTGTATGCTAATACTTCTTTTTGGTTTCACAAATTATATGTCACTATTTCTGTGTGGTTTAACAACCTGTACATTATATTTCCATTTAGTTTAGCAACCTCTACCTTAATATTTCTGTCTGGTTTAAGAAACTTTTCATTAGTATTTATTCGTGGTTTAACAACTTCTTCATTATTATTTCGGTGAGTGTTGCTTATGTCTATGTGTGTGTCTGTGACTGTGTGTTTCCCTGCCTGCGTGTGTGTATGTATTTGTGTGTGTGCCTGTGGCTGCATGTGGGTTCTGTGTGGGTTTATGTCTGTGTGCGTCAGTGTGTGTGTTTATAGGTGTCTTTTTGTGCGGCTACGTATGTATGTGTGTGTATGTCTGTATGTGTTTTAGGGCGTATGTCTGTGAATTTATGAGTGTGTGTGTATGTATGTATGTATTTATGTGTGTGTGTGTGTGTGTGTGTATATATATATATATATATATATATATATATATATATATATATATATATATGTGTGTGTGTGTCTGTGTGTGTCTGTGTGTGCATTTTCGCATGTATGTGGATTTATATGTGTACTGGGTGCCTATTTGTGTGTGTGTAAGTGAGTGAATGGGCTTGCGTGTGTATGTGGGTGTTCGCGGTTGAGCGTGCTCACATATTTTACCACCCATGCTTTTGTTTTCCACTTGATATTCATAATATGCATATTATTGCATGAACATGACATGCATTATTGAAGAAAAATACAACTGCTGTGTGAAAGGTGGGGATTTTGAAAGGCCGAATGTAAGACAGGCCAGCGTGCCTAATTTGTGACCCTTTGAAAATAAAGTTTGTTTGTTCGTACATTTCACATCACGTTCATGCTCACCAGCACGCACAATAAAATGATGATGCAGAATACATTATACAATGTTGTCACCATAATGATATGGCCCATAAGAGCTTACAAAAGAAATATGAAGCTCAAGAATGCTTCGAATTAATAACAAGTGATACTCTTGGGACGCAAACAAAATATCGCTGCAGTCTGAAGAACCCCCTCAAGTGCCTAGAGACAAGCCAGTTACAAACGGGCTAGCAGGAGAAACAGACACTGCCGAATTATACATACTCAGTCATGCTTTTAAATAATGAACTGAATCATAAAGGCACAAACATGATAAACTGTAATAAACTGAATCATAAAGGCACAAACATGATAAACTGGCTTGAGACTGCAGATCCCACTGTCTCCACGATTAACACCCTTGAGCTAAAACACAAGTGATTAACATAACATGCCCTCACAGCAGGAAAACTTCCCATGCAACTCTCTTCTCCGTGAGACTTGCCTGAGCTTAGCCCCTGTGATCAACTGTCACCACAGGGACACACGGGTAGCTTGCTAGTTATACACGGGCTTAAACTTGGCTTATGGTGTTTCTCACTTCACCTCTATATAGACACAGTCTTGGGTCTGAGTGTTAACTCTGTATTATTAACCCTTCTACACTGAATTATCAAAACAGTATATCTAATCTTAGTTAAATACAGATTCGACACACAACATATGTACACAAATTTTGTTAATTTTATTTATGTTTACATTTTGATAGGATAGATTATTTAATATTTATTTGATATATCAGATGGCCCGCCTGTTCTACCATAAACCACAGTTTGCTATACTGGATGAGTGTACCAGTGCAGTTAGTGTAGATGTGGAAGGCTTCATGTACCAACATAGTCGAGAGGTAGGTAGTAAGCAAGTGTTGTACCGAGTAGTTGTATTCCTCTGACTCTGCTGTTTTGTGTGTAGTAACAGATTAACTGATTGTTCAATGTGTAGTAACATTAACTGATTGTTCTATGTATAGTAACAGATTTACTGATTGTTCTATGTGTAGTAACAGATTAACTGATTGTTTTGTGTGTAACAACAGATTGTTCTTTGTGTAATAACAGAAACGGATTGTTTCTATTTAGAAGTCCCTATAAACTCACAATTTAGTTGATTGTAACGTTGCACTATTTGTAGATTGTATCAACTTTCTATTTAGTAGACTATATCATTTCACTATTTATTAGTCTATTATTTCACTGTTAAGTAGACTGTATCGTTTCACTATTCAGTAGACTATATGAGCTCGGTATTTAGTAGTAGTAGACTGTATCATTTCATTATTTAGTAGACTGCATCATTTCACTATTTAGTAGACTTTCATCTCACTATTTAGTAAACTGTATCATTTCACTATTTAGTAGACTGCATCATTTCACTACTCAGCAGACTATCATCTGACTATTTAGTAGACTGTATCGTTTCACTATTCAGTAGACTGTATCATTTCACTATTCAGTAGACTGTATCATTTCACTATTCAGTAGACTGGATCATTTCACTATTCAGTAGACTGTATCATTTCACTATTCAGTAGACTATCATTTCACTTTTCATTAGACTGTATCATTTCACTATTCAGTAGACTGTATCATTTCACTATTTAGTAGACTATATCATTTCACTATTTAGTAGTCTATTATTTCACTGTTAAGTAGACTGTATCGTTTCACTATTCAGTAGACTATATGAGTTCGGTATTTAGTAGACTGTATCAATTCACTATTTAGTAGACTGTATCATTTCACTACTCAGTAGACTATAATCTCACTATTTAGTAGACTGTATCATTTCACTATTTAGTAGACTGTATCATTTCACTATTCAGTAGACTATCATCTCACTATTTAGTAGACTGTATCATCTCACTATTTAGTAGACTGTATAATTTCACTATTCAGTAGACTATCATCTCACTATTCAGTACACTATCATATCACTGTTTAGTAGACTGTATCATTTCACTATATAGTAGACTGTTTCATTTTATTTTTTAGTAGACTGTATCATTTCACTGTCGGCTCTGTGGCTAAGTCGATGCGAACGCTTCGCTTCGTAATGCCAGGATGCCAGGTTCGATCCCAGCTGCGGGCAATGCGCCTTGCGTTGGTTTCGACAGTGGTATCAAGAAAGCCGACCGTCCAGAAAGCAATGGCAAACTACTGGATGTAAATTGCCTAGAGAAACCACACAACAGCCAGGGGCTGAGGGTTGGTTCTGCAACGTCCTGTAAAGGATACGCAACTAACATATATATATCATTTCACTATATACTAGACTGTATCATTTCACTATTTAGTAGACTATAATTTCACTATTCAGTAGACTATCATCTCACTATTTAGTAGACTGTATCATTTCACTATTTAGTAGACTGTATCATTTCACTATTTAGTAGACTGTATAATTTCACTATTTAGTAGACTGTATAATTTCACTATTCAGTAGACTATCATCTCACTATTCAGAAGACTATCATCTCACTATTTAGTAGTGTCAGACACCTTTTATAGGTGTGACACAAGTACAACTGTTATTTGTGCCATGTGTACCCACACTTCCGTGAACGCGTAAACGCTGATGACCTTGTTCCAGTTCTTAAATAATGTTTATTTAAGAACTCATGATAATTGCAAAGTTAGTATGGCTTCAACACAACGTTATCGACTACTGAGTAGCCACAGATTTTATTCTTTGGTTCACAAGCACGCTAATCTCAGGTAGTCACTGGCTAAATACATCAACAGTACGCTGGTATAGCTGATCACAAATCATCCTCGCAATATGAACAAAGTCATGAGAGGCTAGCTGATGCTTCTATAGCAATAATTACGTATCCTCCTGGCTACCACACTTAACTTTATAATCCGGCTATACAACAGAAACACTTGTCACCAGTATGAATAACCACTACTGTTCTATTCACAGTTTTAAATCCAGTCCATTCCAAGCGAAAAACAATTCCCACCTTTTAAAAGGGTCCCAAACAAACACATCCGTTCACTGGACTGTCCAACTACTTACTGCCGTGTGTCGCTCTACCTGTTTGTCTAGTCCCCCATGTAACCTCCCCACTCAGTTACCTGTATCGCCGTTCGGGTCTACACACAACCCGTCTGACCAGTAATTGACCTGTCTGCTTTTATGAGTCAGTCTAGTCGTCGTTTGTCTTTATCTCACAGTGTGTGGTAAAGTTGACTCATGACAGTTTCACGCCCGCTTTTCAAAATGATACTATGTATCATTTCTGTTCATAGTTCGGTATTGTACCCAGTGTTATGTTCTTTTGTGCTACTCGTGTGTAAATCTCTAGATAGATTGTCTGGTCACCTTGCATGTATCATGTCATTACCATTTTCTATCTAGACTAGTATAAATCCTGGATTTATAAAGGCCCTAACCAATTTCTGATGCTAACCCATGCTATTCCTTGTACCGCATAACATCATCTGGTTGAAGGTTGTTTCCTTAATGGCCCGTGTCTTTTGCCCCTTTATCCAGGCTAGTTACCCTGCCTACTTTTGGTTCGCCGTATGTACTAAGTATGTCTTTACTCTTAGGCCGATACAGCCCCATCATGATCATATGATAATTGATAATACCTCTCACCTAATCAGCTGTGACATAAGATGTGATGCATATGAACCGAGTATTCTGTGATGTTTCTAATGACACTAGTCAGTAAATGGGGAGGAAATAGCTAGTATTTAGCTAGGAGCATTTGAGGCTAAGCAGTTAGAATTAGGGAAAATACAAAAGGGGGGGGGGGGGGGGGGGGGGGGGGGGGGGGGGGGGGGGGGGGGGTTATTCCTGCAACAGGGGGGTTTCTAGACAAAAGAATATTCATGAATTAATTACTGTAAGTATTATCAAAAGCCTTTCATTCATATTCCGTGTACTCAACAGACAGCCATTCATCCTTCTTTTTTTTTTTTTCCCTCTTTTTTGTCCAATTAATAAAAAAAAATTGTATTTTTTTTTCAATGTCTAGCATCTGTTTAAAGACGTGACAGGATGTCAGCCAGGGCATTATTTATGCCACTGATGTGGACTAATTCAAAGCTGTAGTTCTGCAAAAGTAACTCCATCTGTAAATACGATGATTCTTCGGTGTTCCTTTTTTAAAGACTGTCAGTGGTTTGTTGTCTGTCTGTACTATAAACTTCCTGCCAAGCAAATATTTTGCACATTTCGTAACCCCCACCACAAGAGAAAGTGCTTCAAGTTCTACTGTGGCGTAACGTTTCTCTGCTTCTGACAGCTTCCGACTGGAATAAAGTACTGGGTGGAGAATGTTCTCATGTTTCTGTAATAAAATACATGATATGGAATACCCACTTGCATCGCACTGTAAGATGAAGGGTTTTTTGGGGTCAGGTAACTTTAAGATTGGTGATTTCGAGAAAGCTGTTTTGATATTGGTCAGAATTTGTTCCAGCTGCGGGGTCCATGCTATCTTTGTAGGCAATCCCTTCTTAACGAGTGAAGATAATGCTGCTGTCATGCCAGCAAAGTCAGGTAGAAATTTATTGTAATAGTTTATCAGTTCCAGCATTGATCGAACTTGCTTTTTTGTTGTTGGGGCTTTAATATCCAATATTTTTGAAACAATTTTGTCATCTGTTTGTAAGAATCCATTGCCGATCTTGTGACCAAGGAAATCAATTTTTGTGAATCCGATTTCTACTTTACTGGGTTTTACTTTCAAGCCGAATTCTCTTAATCTCTTAAATACCTGGGTTAAGGAAGAAATGTGGTCCTGCATATTTGCATTGTGAATACAAATATTGTCCATATATGTGGCAACATTCTTGATGTCCTTAAGTACAATGCGCATCATGCGAACAAATGTTGCAGGCAAATTTTGTAATCCAAAAGGCATTTTGCACCATTCAAACAATCCCGTCGGTGTGGCAAATGCAGTAATATGCCTTGATTCTTTGGTAACTGGAATTTGCCAGTAACCCTTAGTGAGGTCTAATTTTGAAAAGAATTGCGATTGGCACATGGTTGCAATAAGTTCGTCTTCATTTGGGATTGGTTCAGCATCCAAATGGGTAATGGCGTTTATTTTACGATAATCCACGCAGATTCTGAGTGTGCTGTCTTTCTTTTTGACGATTACCAGCGGTGATGAATAGTTGAAAGATGACCTTCTAATAATACCACATTTTTCCAATTAAGATATTTCAGCCTCTACTTGTTTTTGATAGTGCAGCGGGATGGGATATGGTTTTGTCTTAACTGATATTTCTGTTGTGAGTCTTATGTGATGTTTGATTACCGATGTGCTGCCTGGCATATCTGAAAAGATGTCTTGGAACTGTTGAAGGATCTTCATTCATTTGGAATTTCACTGTTGACTTTAATATCTTTCCACGACGATTCGACTGTTGTTGAAGGTGTAGGAATTTGATCAGTTATAGTGTCTTCCTGTTGCTCATTGATGGTTAAGGCTAAAGACGCAACATGCTCGTTTATATGCCTAGGGGGTTGTAGCTCATCTCGAATCTTAAATGGCTTTAGCATGTTAATGTGGAAGATTTTCGGCTTGCCTTTCACCAGTATCTCGTAATCCACATCCAAAATTTTTTTGGTTACCTTGTATGGACCTTGCCATGATACTGACAGTTTATCAGATGGAAGTGGTTACAGTAAAAGCACTTCTTCTTCTTTTAAGGCAACTGTCTTAGCCTTTCTATTTGCATATTGTCTGTACACAGTACCCGAGGTTTCAAGGGCCTGTTTTGCAGCCATGCAGGACTTTATAATCATCTCCCGTAAACTGCTGACCATATTATAAGCATCTATGGTTGGCTGATCTTCAACTTTCCCCGTAATTAGTTCTTTATA